GACCCTGGTCCTGCAGAGTGATGCAGATGCCTTCAGGGAGTTGGAATGAAGTGTGGCTGCAGCCCGGACCCCTTCGGCCCCATGGCAGGTGGAGCCTGGCCATGTGGCAACTGTGCTGATGGCAGCACTGACTTTCTCTCCTCCCTGGGCCCCATAACTTGTGGGGGGAGGGTAGCTGCTGTGCTGATTCCCGGGTGCCAAAGCCTGCCTGCCCCACTGCATGGCCTGACCCCAGTGCACCAGGCTGTCCTGCTCCAGCCCCACCGGCAGCTGACCCCTCAAGTGGCAGCAGGCTGCTTCCCGGCTGTGTTCACCAAATCCCAGGCGCCTCTTGCTGCAGAGGAGGGAGCTGCACAACAGCGCCTCCCGGGGGACAGAGCACTCCTGCCTCTGGCAACCAGCTAAACAAACACAGCCCTTGGGTCCCTCCAGGCCTGTCCCTGTATCATGGCCCAGCAGGGAGGGGCTCACGCAATGGTGGTTGTCAGGATGCCCGGGCTCTCTGACCCCCCAGCACAGGGGGAGCCTGCCCCGCTGGGCTGCTCCTCTTCTGCAGGAGAGTGGGGGCAGGGTCTTCATGCACGATCTGAAGCTTTGCCCTAGAATCTCTGAGCCCCCCTTGGAGGGCACGTGCTGTGGATGGGAAGCAAGTCTATTCCCTTCCTCTGCATCTCAGGGGTTTTCTTTTGCACACTGGTCACGGTGACGTCCCAGCTGCCTGTATGTGAGCTGTGGGAGCGGTGTGGTACAGTGAGCGGGGAGAGGACACCCTGCTCCAAAAGCCCAGGCCCTGGTGCCTGAGCTGCAGGAGAATCCCCATCATCTATTAGCAGTGCGGAGCTGGTGACCTGGCTGGGCAGGGCTGCCCCCTGGTAATTAGTGGCAAGGTGTAGGAGCTGGCACTGCTTGAGGGAAGGCACTGCCTGGCCCCTGGGCTGCTCAGAGCATGGTCTCAGCAGCGTGATCGGTGAACCCTGGCGTGCCAAATGCCCCCTGGTCCCACTGGCTGTCTGGACCACTGCTGCTCCAATCACAGTTGTGACCCTGAAGGGAACGACTGGAGCCTCCTTCCTTCTGTCTGGGGCAGGGGCTTGGGCAAGTGGGGCAAGACTCTGCCTGTTGAAGGTTTAGGTGAGCCCCTGGCATTAGTCCCAGCCCTTCGGGGCTAAGCCAGGGGGGAGTTGGAGGGTGTCATGGGGTGCCTGAGGGCAGTGCCTCTCCTGTCTCCCTAGCAGTATCCTCCTCCAAGCTCTGCTGGGCATGAGGCAGCACTAGGCAGTTGTTGAAGCAGATGGGTAGCGAGTTCTCCTCTGCAGGGAGAGGCAGGGGCTGCCTCCCTTATGTTGGAAGTGCCAGTGATGGGCAGCTGCAAACTCCTGGGGTGGGGTGGGGTGGGAGGAGGAGGTGGTGACCTGGATGGACTCTGCTCCCCCCAGCCAGTGGAAGCCAGGGAGGGGGGAGCTGGGGGGGGGGGGGGGGGGGCGGGCAAGCCTCACGGGGCAGGGGACGCTAAATGCACCTGGACAAGGAATTCCAGTGGGGGGATTCCTGAGCAGCATCACACCGAGCACCACAGGCCCTCCTCCATCCTCCCTCTCAGCTTGTGGCCTCTTCCTGGGCACCCTGACAGCCCACTCCTGCTTCTGTTCAGTAGCCCTTCCAGGCCACCTTTCCCCTGTGCCCCCTACGCTCAGCCCGGCCTGCACTAAGTTGATTGCAGGAAGAGCTCATGGCCTTTGGAGGTTCGGCGTGCACATACTTTGGGCTTGAGACCATTATGGGATGGATCATCGGGGGTTGTCTTAGCAACAAATGCAGAGCCAAGACCCCAAGTCAGAGTTGAGCAAAAAGTCAAGGGGCACCATTAGGTTTCAACAAAAATACCGGACACACTTGACATTACATCACCATCTACATTTTGTTTAGAAAACACCAGACACTTATATTTTGTCACTTATATTTTCTCAATTTGTTTCCCGAACAGAAAGCTCGAATACTGGACTGTCCGGTTCAAAACTGGATACCTGGCAACCCTAGGCACCCTAGAGAGCTGGGCAGGAGGGCTGGCCATGAAGGGAATTCCCAGCTACTCCAGTCCCAGCCTCTCTCAACAGGGGGCGCTGTGGGGCACAGGGCAGGCCATGAGGGGGACCCCCCCCCTACTCCCTTCCCAGCTTCTCCCAGCAGGAGGCTCTGTACAGGGAGGGGCAGGAGCGCTGGCTGTGGGGGGAGCTCCCAGCTACTCCAGACCCAGCAGGGCTCCCTGGGAGCCCAGTGCATTGGGCGTGCTGGGAAGCGCACAGGTGCCTTAAGCCACCTAGAACAAAGGCTCCAGACAATGGTTCTGTGACTATGCCGCATCTGAGATGGAAAATCCCAGGCAGGTAGCGCAGCACGTCCCCAGCGCAGGGGAAGCCGGCAGT